TCGAGAACGAACGCGTCGGCGGTCAATACTCGGCCACCGATGGAAAGGCTAAGATCTGAGGCTTTGGCTGAAGTCACTATCTTTCGTCTCGAGGCTAAACTCACCTCGAGAGGATCGACAGTGGTAACTGCATGAACTCCGATGGCGTCGAGACACCGTCGTGAAATAAAGGTGTGCGTTGCTCCGGTATCCTTTAGTTAAAGACCAACTGAATCGAGAATACACTACAGTCTTTTTCCAAGTGGGGTCTCACTGCCAGTCTAGACTGTGAACAAATAGTTTAGTCTTATAAGGAACCGATAGGTGATCTTTCTGTTCGAAACTCTTCGAACCACACTACCTCAATATAAGACATGGAGTATGTATTGCATAAATAAATAAACTGCAAACATATGTACTTTGACCGAAACATGATTGCCAGATCAAAATGGAATTGATAGAAACTGCAAAACATCGCTTTTACAGCATACCTCTAACAATCTCCCACTTATGCTTTATAAGCTCATGGCTGAACAAAATAACCACAATTTCTTTCAATCTAATTCTCAAAGACTAGTCTACTATGTTGCCCTAACATCTAACTCTCATTCCTTCTACGTGTCTCGTAAAGACTTTCGCCGGTAGGCTCTTCGTAAAAGGATCTGCTAGGTTGTCCTCTGATTGTATCTTGGCAACAACGACTTCTCCTCGTCCAACTATTTCTCGTATCAGGTGGTACTTGCGCTCTATGTGTTTACTCGCTTTATGAGTCCGTGGGTCCTTCGAATTTGCTCTTGCTCCGCTGTTATCACAGAACACTGTGATTACAGTGGGCAAACTCGGCACCACGTCAAGGTCGAGGAGAAAATTCCTGAGCCAGACAGCTTCTTTCGCTGCCTCTGAGGCTGCTACATACTCAGCCTCTATGGTTGAGTCTGCCACGCATTTCTTCTTGACACTCCTCCATACTATGGCTCCTCCTCCTAAAGTAAACACAAACCCTGAGGTTGACTTGCTTTCATCCCGGTCGGCCTGGAAGTCAGAATCGGTGTAACCCAACGGAAGCAACTCATCTGCTTGGTAAATCAACATGTATTCCTTAGTCCTACGTAGGTACTTGAGTATATGCTTTACCGCAGACCAATGTTCCGGTCCTGGATTATTCTGATATCTTGCTACCATGCCCACGACATAACAAATATCAGGTCGCGTGCACAACATAGCATACATGAGGCTTCGTACTGCCGATGCATAAGGAACTGCCTTCATGTCCTCTATCTCTTGAGGCGTCTACGGGGACATCCTCTTAGATAGAGGTATTCCATATCGAAAGGGTAAATCCCCTTTCTTGGAATCCTGCATGTTGAAACG